ACAGGCGCCCGCCACAACGTGCGGCTATTTTTTTTGGTTGCAGCTGTCATTGTTGTTTGGCGGCCCGGGCTGGATTCGAACCCGCCACCCTTGGGTGTATGTGGCTGGCACCTTAGCCACTTGAGCCACAGGCACCGAGCCGAGACAGTTTCTTGCTCTTGCTCAGGCTAGTCTTGAACTTCTGAGCTCAGGCGATCCACCTGCCTTGGCCTCCCAAAGTGCTAGGATTATAGGTGTGAGCCACCATGCCTGGCTCATTCTATTGTCTTCTAGTTTCCATGATTGCTGTTGAGACATTACCTGTCAGCCAAGTGGCTGATCTTTGGCGCCTATGGCTCAAGGGAATAAGGCACTGGCCCCATATGCTGGAGGTGGCAGGTTCAAACCCAGCCCTGGCCAAAAGTGAAAAACAAAAAAAAACTTTATTGAGATAAAACTTATATGCCATAAAATCCGCTCATTTAGGCCCACCTTGGTGGCTCACATCTATAATCCTAGCACTCTTGAAGGCTTAGACAGGTGGATTGCTTGGCTCGGTGCCTGTGGCTCAAGCTGCTAAGGTGCCAGCCACATACACCTGAGCTGGCGGGTTCAAATCCAGCCCGGACCCACCAAACAACGACGGCTGCAACCAAAAAATAGCTGGGGGGTTGTGGCAGGCACCTGTAGTCCCAGCTACTTGGGAGGTGGAGGCAGGAGAATTGCTTGAGCCCAGGAGTTGGAGGTTGCTGTGAGATGTGATGCCATAAGCACTCTACCTAGGGGACAGCTTGAGGCTCTGTCTCAAAAAAAAAGAACTAACCACTTATGTGTTATCCATTTAACATCTGTCCCCTGTATGAGACTGAATCCTTGAGGGCAGGGACCAGATCGGTCTTGCATGGTGCTGGGCCCACAGGGGGCATTGAGCAACCATTGTTGAATTGCGAAGTGAACAGATAATCAGGCAGGCCACAACAGGATCTTGTGTGTGGCAGAGAAAATTGTCCAGTAAATTTCTAATAGTCCTTCCCTTTCAGTAATATTCATGTATTACATTTCATATCATAAAACTCTTATACAATAACAATTAAATGAACACAACTGGAACACCCAAGTCCTCACTAATCAAGGCCAGGGAGCAACTCCATCCATTACCTGATAAGAAAAGAGTGGATTTGACCCTTTTGGGTGGGGGGGAGAGTAGAGTCTATTTCACCCTCTGTAGAGTGCTGTGGCATCATAGTTCCCAGCAACTTCAAACTTTTGGGCTTAAGCGATTGTCTTGCCTTAGCCTCCCAAGTCGCTGGGGCTATAAGAGCCCGCCAAATGCCTGGCTAGTTGTCATTGTTGTTTGGCAGGCCTGGGCTGGGTTGGAACCCGCCAGCCTCAGTGTATGTGGCCAGCGCCCTAACTGCTGAGTTATGGGTGCCAAGCCGATCTGACCCTTTTTTATGGGGCAGTTTTCATGTGCCTGCATCTAAGAAGCCTTGTCAAAATTTCCTGCTTCAGGGCAAAACCAGGTGAGTGTTTTTCTCTGTTATGAGGTCTTGGTGAGTCTTGTGCTATCTCTAAACCTCTTTTTTCTTATCTGTAAAGTGACAAGAGCATGGACCTTGTCAGATTATCATGAGGAAGTAAGTGAGCCTCTCTGTGTAATGTGGTGAAGGGTTGGCACAGTACCTGCCCGGCAGCAGCCCTCATCTTAAGTGAGTTTGCCCCCCTTCCCTTGCTCCACTGATACCAGGGATAACTCTTAGCTTGCAAGGGAACCTGGACAGGGTCTGTTGGAGCGAGGAGGGGTAAGAATAGAGGTCAGTGGCTGCTGTAATGAAGCATAGTGGGGCCCTGTCTTGGGCAATGCTGCTGGATGCATAGACGAGGCTGACTCTGTATCAGTTAGTGTCTGCTGTGTAACAAAAAAGCCCAAAGCTTAGGGCCCTAAAACAATTATTCTATTTAACTCAGGACTTTATTAGCTGGGCAATTCTTTTAGTTTGGGCCAGCTTGGCTGATGCCTGCATCTGTAGTCAGCTGGAGGTCACCTGGGGCCAGGTGATCTAGGATGGTCTGCCTCAGTTAGCAAGCTGTTAGCCAGGCCATCTCCCTTCTCCTCCACATCCCCCCCCCCCACTATCACCTCCTTCTCAGAACTGGAATTTGTTCAGGTCTCTTTCCTCTCCCTTATGAAGTATGAGCTTCCTTCAGGGAGGCTGCCTCCACCTGCAGCTGGAGGATCACCATGATTAATGGAAGCACATCTTCCTTACTGTGATTGGTCAGGAAAGGGCATGTGACCCAAGCTGGCCAATGAAGTTTGTAGTAACATCTATTAGCCATGCTTCTGGGAAAGCTTCCCTCATTGCAAGGAAGACCTGTAAGAACAACAACTCACTCTTATGGGCATGTGCCAGGCGCTGCTTGTTCTAAGTGCTTTACATAAAATAACTCATTCAACTTTCACAAGTTGGGTACTATTATTAGCCCCCATTTTACAGAGGAATAATCTGAGGCATAGGATGGTTAAGAAACTTGCCAACGGTCAAACAGCTAGGACTTAATTCTGGGCAGTCATGGAGCCAGGACTTAATTCTGGGCAGTCTGATTCCAGAGTACTGGGTTCTCAAGTACTATAATGCCACACTAGTCACAAGGGACCAGTCAGAGGGGCCCAGTCCTTCCTCTGGTCACAGACCTCTCTAATGTGACGACTGGGACTTCTGTAGCCATTGGGCCAGCCATCTCTAAGGATAACAGAGCAAAGTGACAGAAAGAGCCTGGTGAGCCAGGTCCCTGCAAACAGCCCTGAGGGCTGAATGAACCAACACTGAAGCCCACACCATCTACTGACTTCTTGCTTTGTAGGAAACATATTTCTTTTTTGTTTAAACTACTTTGCTTGGAGAAAAGTATCCCAATGGAGACACCACTGCCTCCAGAAGAAACACAGTTGGAAAGACTGGCTGGGCTGCAAGGAATCTGAGGGGATCTGTTCTCCCAACCAGCTCAGCTGAGGCTGAGGCATAAGCCCTTTCACTACAGGGCCGGTTTAGAAGGCAAGGAAACTGGTAAGAGATAGTAGGAAAAGAAAGAAGAAGTCTTCTGGGGAAATAAAAGTATTTCATAACTCCTTTATTAGGCACAGGTAAAAATAGATATTCATGGTATCTCAAACCCATAGTATTGATCTGGACTCCAAATGTACCCACAGAACAGGGCCTGAGATTTTCCAGACCATGCATAATCTTGTCCCTTAATCTGGATGCTCAGGTCCGGGGCCACCAAGGTCAACAGGCCTGGACCCTAATTCCAAACCATTCCTTGAGTTAGATGAGAACCAGCCTCATAGTTTACATCAGGAGCGTTCAAACTGTGGCCCGTGCTGCATGCAGATTATATGAGGACTTTTCTGCCTATCTGTGGTGGTGGATATCACAAAAATTATGCACAAACTTTTTTGTTTTTTGCTAATCTGCTCTTGTTAGTGTTTGTGTATTTAATGTGTGGCTCAAGACAACTCTTCTTCCAATGTGGTGCAGAGAAGCCAAAAGTTTGAACACTCCTGGATTTTTGTTCTTCCAGCCCAAAACCCTGACTTGGGCCTAGAAAGAAAATCTCTTGATCGAGAGGATAGAGCTGCTAGGAGCACAATTCCCAGCACAGCCTGGGCTCTGGAGTCCTGAGTTGCAGGAGAGAGGCCTGCAGACTTTGGCACAGGGATACTTCCCTTTCTCTGAAAAAGTGCAAAATACAAAGGCAACTGGTTTGGGGGTCAAGCATGGTGGCTCAGACCTGTAATCCTGGCACTCTGGGAGGCCAAGGTGGGAGGATCTCTTGAGTTCAGGAGTTTGAGACCAGTCTGAACAAGAGCTAAACCTCATCTCTACTAAAAATAGAAAAATTAGCTGAGCACTGTGATAAGCACCTGTAATCCCAGCTATTTGGGAGGCTGAGGCAGGAGAGTCACTTGAACCCAGGAGTCTGAGGTTGCTGTGAGCTAGGCTGATACCACAGCACTCTAGCCTGGGGCAACAGAGTGAGACTCTGTTTCAAAAAAAAAGGCAGCTTGGTTCTTTATGAAAGGGACTGTCCTACAGGCAGAGGTGGCTAAGCACCAGTACAAGTGGTAGATGACACTGGTACTAAGTGTGCCCAGTGTAGAGGTAGGAGGATCACCTGAGCCCAGAAGTTGGAGGTTGCAGTGAGCTGTGATGATGCCACTGCCCTCTAGCCAGGGCAACAGAGTAAGACTCCCTACCTCAAAAAAAAAACAAAGAATGCTAACCTGCCAGCTCTGCTGTGTGAGCAGGGAGTCTTGTCTCCTTTGCTCACTGGTATGTTCCCAGCACCTAAAATGGAGAGCTCGGCACACAGGAAGCACCCAAGCAGACCTTGTGTGCAGAACACACTGGTGGGTACACAGCACACTCCACACAGGCTTCCTTTCTCCCTCCTTGAAGGCACTTAAGGTTTGGCTCAGTTCAAAGTGGCAGGAGAAAGCTTGAGGACGCCCCCAGTTCAATCCACTGTTTGCAGCTGAGAATCTGGTAGGATGGTCTAGCCATAGAGATCTACCTCTCTTTCTCCCTCCTCTTCCTCTGCTTCCTCCAGCCCCCACCCATCAGGGACCACCTGGTCAGCCTCCCAGAGGTGGGACTGGGATGGGGCTGAAGGGACCCGATCCTCCCGTAGCCAGGGGTGCAGCAGGATGCCTGTGGCTGTGAGCCTCTCAGTTGGCTCCCGTCGAAGGAGGCAACGGACCAGGCAGCGGGCTGCAGCTGAGAGGCCCTCAGGTAGGGCAAAGGCACCACGACGTATCTTGCCAAAGAGCAGGGCAGGCTCTGAATCCTGGAAGGGGTAGTGGCCGGCCAGCATGGTGAAGAGTGCCACGCCCAGGCTCCAGATGTCAGCCGCCTTGCCTGAGTAGGATGCCCTGGAGCTGAGGATCTCAGGTCCCACGTATGCTGGGCATGCATGCTTGTCCCACAGAGAGTCGTCTGGACCAGTCAGCACACAGGCATCCTCCAGGTTCTCCAGCACCAGCTTTGTCCTGAGGCAGGGGCAGAGATGGAGGGGTCAAGTCTTCTTTGGAATCCCCATGCTGCCACCCGGCACTATCACCATAATGGTACCCACTTCTGAGTGGCTGCTGGCATCTGACAGACATGAGCCAGTTCTATGAGGCTGGGTGACTGATCTTGTTTTACAGATGAGGAAGCTGAGGCTGAGAGAGGTTAGGTTGTTTAAGGTCACAGAGCAATTCCATTCAAACTAAGACTCTGAAAGGAACACGTCATTTCCCAACAGTCCCTTGGGGAGGGGACTCAGGGACCTAAGAGGGTTGAAACTCTTTTAAGTCAGGCTGGGTGTGGTCGTAGCTCATACCTGTAATCCCAGCACTTTGGGATTTAAAAAAAAAGCCTCTCTTAAACCACATGCAAACTTAGGGTCCAGGCAGGTAATAAAATGAGAGAAACACAAAGTGTGCCGGATGTATCAGACCAGCCTTGCCTAAAAAGGGCATCATTAACAAAAGCTCAGTATGGTTTTTATTTATTTTATCTTATTTTATTTTTTTAAGACAGGGTCTTGGGCGGTGCCCGTAGCTCAGGGGTAGGGTGCCAGGCACATACACTGAGGCTGGTGGATTCGAACCTGGCCCTGGCCAGCTAAAACAACAATGACAACTGCTGCAACAACAACAACAAAATGGCCGGGCATTGTGGTGGGCACCTGTGGTCCCTGTTACTTAGGAGGCTGAGGCAAGAGGATCACTTAGGCCCAAGAGTTTGAGGTTGCTGTGAACTATGATGCCAGGGCACTCTACCCAGGGCAACAGATTGAGGCTCTATCTCAAAAAATAAATAAATAAATAAATAAAAGACAGGGTCTTGCTTTGCTGCTCAGGCTGGAGTGCCATGGTATGATCATAGCTCACTACAACCTCAGACTCCTGGGCTCATATGATCCTCTTGCCTCAGCCTCCTGAGTAGCTGGGGCTACAGGTGTATACACCATGCCTGGCTAATCTCTTAATTTTTTTATAAAGACAGGAGTGTCACTATTGCTATTGCCCAGGCTGGTCTCTACTCTTGACCTCTGACCTCAACCTCCCCAAAGCTGTAGGTTATAGGTGTGAGCTGCTGTGCCCAGCGCAGTCTGGTAAACGTCCACTGGACCTGTTCCTAGGCTAGGCTAAGCACGTTACCTGGCTCATCTCATTTTGTGCTGGCTACCACCTGGAACAAAGACACCATTTTACAGCTCTGGGGTGTCAGGCTAGAAGGGAACACTGGCTCTCACCCACCCAGAGCCAGCCCTGTGAACCACTCATATAATTCCCAAGGTGGCCTCATGTTCCCATTTGTTTTTCTCTGAGAAGCCAGAAATCATATTTTAATGTAAAAGTCCCAGTTTTTAAAATGTTAGCAACCAAATTCAATAAAATCACAAACAAATGGGTACCTGGGGTGGGGGTGGGGGAATGTGTGTATAGCCTACTTGCAACTTGTATTTTAAACCTGTGGTCTCCAAGCCCCAGGCAGAGGACTCATACCTGTCCATGGCCTGTTAGGAACTGGGGGCCCCACAGCAGGAGGTGAGCAGGCAGGCGAGCCTGGGAGAGAAGTTTCATCATCACTTGCTTCACTGCCTAAGCTCCACCTCCTGGCAGATCAGGCTGGCGTTAGATTTTCATAGGCGCACAAACCCTGCTGTAAACTGCGCATTAGAGGGATCTAGGTTGCAAGCTCCTTATGAGAATCTAATGATACCCACCTTCCATGGAAAAACTGTCTGCCATGAAACTGGTCCCTGGTGCCCAAAAGGTTGGAGAACTACCAACCTTTGGTAGTTGTTTAACCTCCCATAGGTTAAACAACTCCCATAAAGTGCTCTAGATGGCTTAAATAGTAATAATCTTGTTATTGCTGTGAATAATCTCCTTCCTTATGGCATCACTATCTGGGTGCCTAATGGCATTGCACAAACGCTGACTAATCCTATGAATCATAGTATCGCGTGTGTGTGTGTGTAGGGGAGAGAAAGAGAGACAATATTATTGGCCCATTTTACAGATGAAGAAATGACAGCTCAGACAGGTGTAGCCAATTGCTCAGGGCCAAAACACAGGTAGGAAGTGGAACCAGTCTGTATGACTCACAGTCCCTCTTCTACTACCAATTCTCAAACTATTGTCTTGAGAGAGAAGGAAGCACTTTCACTCGGCTGGGAGGTCGAGGGTAGTTATACCCACCCTAAGCTTAGTTTAAAGCTATGTGCTAGCTTAAAAATCAATATAACTTTTACGTTCTCCTTCTTGCTAAAAAGCATGTTCATTTTTTGTTTTTTGTTTTTTTTTTTTTTGAGACAGAGTCTCAGTCTGTTGGCCTAGGTTGAGAGCTGTGGTGTCATCATAGCTCATAGCAACTTCAAACTCTTGGGCTCATGAGATCCTCCTGCTTCAGCTTCCTGTGTAGCTAGGACTGCAAGTGCCCCCCACAACACTCGGCTAAATTCTAATTTTTCTATTTTTAGTAGAGATGGGGTCCTACTCTTGCTCGGGCTGGTCTTGAGCTCCTGAGCTCAAGCAATCCACCCACCTCAGCCTCCCAGCGTGCTAGGGTTACAGGCACCTGGCTATTTTTACAGATGGGTTCTTGCTCTTGCTCAAGCTGGCCTTGAACTCATGAGCCTCAGCCTCCCAGAGTGCTAGGATTACAGGTGTGAGCCACTGCACCTGGGCAGCGCATTCGTTTTAATATAAAATGTAGAAGAAAATAGAAAGTCAGCTGTAAGCAAACACCACAATAACTGCTACAGGCAGGCCAGGCACAGTGGCTCATGCTTGTAATCCCAGCACTCTAGGAGGCTGAGGAAGATGGATTGCCTGAGCTCCGAAGTTCAAGACCAGCCTGAGCAAGAGCAAGACCCGTCTCTAAAAATAGCTGGGTGTTGCAGCAGGCACCCGTAGTCCCAGCTACTTGGGAAGCTGAGGTAAGAGGATTGCTTGAACCCAAGAGTTTGAGGTTGTCGTGAACTATGATGCCACAGCACTCTACTAAGGGCAACAAAGTGAGACTTTGTCTCAAACAAAAACAAAAACAAAACAACTGCTACAGGTAAGATGGACGGCTGCTAAAATTAACGGGTGAAAGTTGAGAAAAACACAGGATATTAATATGCATAGCCTCAAAGTACCTCCCTCAAGGTATTTATTAATTACAAAAGGGTAAATTAGGAATTTTATTTTATTTTATTATTTTTGAGACAGAAAAAATGTCACCCTGGGTAGATTGCTATGGCATCATAGCTCACAGCAACCTCCATCTGGGGCTCCAGTGATCCTCTTGCCTCAGTTTTTCTATTTTTAATAGAGACAAGATCTTGCTCTTGCTCCGGCTGGTCTCAAACTCATGAGCTCAAGCAATCCACCACCTCGGCCTCTCAGAGTGCTAGGGTTACAGGTGTGAGCCACCACGCCTGGCCTAAATGAGGAATCTTACAGTGGAGAGACCTGGCAGTGATCACAGTAAAGACCTAGCAACTCACGCACCTCTCAATATGATGTGCTGAGCAGACTATCACTTCTGCTGTGTCCTTGCCAAAAACATAACTGCAATCTAACTTTTCTGTGTAACTGTGGGAAAACAATCCAAATTGAGGGATACACAAAGTAACTGTAAAATGGCCCAGTAATATTCTCTCTCTCTTTTTCTCCCTCCCCTACACACACACAAACACACACACACAAATACATGCAATACTGTTATTCATAGGATTAGTCAGCGTTTGTGAAATACTCTTCAAAAGTCTCAAGGTCATGAAAGAAAGGGACAGACTGAGGAACTGTCTCAGATTAGAGGAAACCAAGGGAACATGACAACTAAGTGGAACATGGGATCCTGGACTGCGTCCCGGACAACAAAGGGACTTTTGTGGGACACTAGGGAAGTCTTAATGAATCTGTGGTTTAGGGTCAGTAGTGCTCTGCCAAGGTTAATTTCTTAGTTTTGATAATTATACTATGGCTATATAAAGTGTTCATATTAGTGGAAACTGGGTGATGAATATTTAGGAAGTCTTTGAACTGTTTTAGCTACTTTTCCAAAAATCTAAAATTATTTCAAAATAAAAAGTTTTAAAAAAAACACAATGGGGGGGGCGGGCATAGTGGCTCATACCTATAATCCTAGCACTCTGGGAGGCCGAGGCCGGAGTGGATTGCCTGAGCAAACAGGTTCAGGACCAGCCTGAGCCAGAGCAAGACCTTGTTTCTAAAAATAGCCAGGCATTGTGGTGGGCATCTGTAGTCCCAGGTACTCATTAGGCTGAGGCAAGGGGATAACTTGAGCCCAAGAGTTTGAGGTTGCTGTGAGCTGTGACTCCACGGCACTCTACCAATGGCTACAAAGTGAGACGCTCGTCTCAAAAAGAAAAAAAATACAATGGGGTCACACTCTTTCTTCCACAAAAGTATCTTGAGATGAAACTGATGCTCCTAGTGGTTATTCTCGGCTGCTCAGTGCACTCCCTGACACACCCTGCAGAGTGTCTGGGGAAGGGACAGGGGGCAGGTCCCTCTGCCTCTCTTTTGAGGAGAGTTATCTTATCAATATTGGTCTTCTTAGCATCCCAACCTACAGAAACACCGTTATGTTTTAACCAAAAAGTGCTAATTTTCAATTTCACAGAAAAAGTTTCCACGTAGAGAAACTCAGGCTCTCTTTGGCTGTGTTCTTGGAATCCTGGAAACATCCTAACAATCCACCCATTTCCCCTACCAGTGGGGAAACTGAGGCTCAGAGACCCTGAGTCACCAAGAGTCAGCTGGTAAGGCCAGGCAGGCCTTCTGTCTCTCAAGCTCAGAGTGAATTAGCACCCAGGCTCTGGGTTCAGATTTGGTTCAAATCCTGAGCTTTACTCATTATTTAGCTGTGGGATCTTGGGCAAGTTACATGACTTCTCTGGGCCTCGACTTCCTTATGGGAGGATAACAGTACCTACTTCATATTTTAAGGATCCAGACAAGCCTGGCAATGCAGTGATGCCCTTCCCCACAGTCGGCTTTGTGATTACCATGGCCACAAGGCTCCACGTGCAGGGCCTTCCAAGAGGACTGGGTCAACCTTGGGAATGAACTGGGCAGTGTGCGCCCGTTGTCCATCTCTTAACTAGGTTACTCTGCCATTCTGGGTCTCCATCATGGCCCACCCTCTAGTGTGTCTGTGGGCGGGATATCTGCGGCCACACTCACCTCTCAGAGTCTCTGAAGACAAAGCGACACAGCTTGAGATCACGCAGGACTAGACCATGCTGGTGACAGTGCGCCAGGGCTGCGGCCATCTGGCGGAAGAGAGCGGCGGCCTCAGGCTCTGGCACCCGGCGGCGGCTGCGCACCAGGCTGTGCATGTCCCCATGGGTCCGAGAGAAAAAGGTATAGAGGAGCTGGGTGCCTGCCATCACCTGGGCAGGTCGCGCCACGTGCTCGTGGGGGGGCAGTCGCGCGTAGGGCTCAAGCACGGCCAGGGCCTCGCGGGCGGGGTACACCTGTGGGCAGAGGATGGTGTGAGCGCGGCTGGGGACCCCCAGGAGCTTGGGCTGGCCTCGCCAACAGTCCCAGGTGGGTGCTAGGCACTGTGCCAAGTGCTTCCCTTACCTAGTCACTCAGCCATGACAACAGCCCTTTAAACAGGGTGACCTGCTCCATTTTAAAGTTAGGGAAGCTGAGAGGCCACACAGCCTGTGTTCTAAGTGGAGGGGCACAGACAGTGCAAAGGCCCTGAGGCAAGAGAAAGCTTGACCTGGTCTGGAAACCCAGGCAAAGATCAGTGTGGCCTCAAAGGTGTGGGGCAGAGAACAGGGATAGATGGTGAGGGTGGTGAGGTTGTTGGAAATGTGTTAGGGGTTAATGGGCCTTCCAGTGAAACCTCACCCTAGGCCTGAAAGGTATGTCCCACTTTAATGATGATAAGATTGAGGTTCAGAAAAGGGAAGGGACTTCTTAGAAACCATATAGCCAATCAGCGGCAAAGCTACTATGCTCACTTTCCTTTGTCTGACTTTAAACCCATTACATGTTATGTTAACCAGGCCACACAGGAGAAAAAAAGCATTTGCGTAGCTAGTCCATGAGAAAAATTTAAAGCATATAATTTAAAAAAAACAGTTGAGGCTCAGTGCCCATAGCTCAGTGGTTAGGACGGTGGCCACTTACACTGTGTCTGGCAGGTTTGAACCCGGCCATGCCTGCTAAACAACGACAACTTCACCAAAAATTAGCCAGGTGTTGTGGCAGGTGCCTGTAGTCCCAGCTACTTGGGAGGCTGAGGCAAAAGAATCATTTTTAAGCCCAAGAGTTTGAGGTTGCTGTGAGCTGTGACTCCACAGCACTTTACTGAGGGGGACATAGGGAGACTCTGTCTCAAAAAAAAAAAAGAAAAAAATAGTTGAGGTGACATAAAGGAAATAACCAAAAACAGAAACTATTTTTTTTTTTTTTTGAGACAGTTTCACTATGTTGCTGTGGGTAGAATGCCCTGGCATCACCATAGCTCACAGAAACCTGAAAATCTTGGACTCAAGCAATACTCTTGCCTCAGCCTCCTGAGTAGCAGGGACTATAGGCGCCCACCACAATGTCCAGCTAGGTTTTTCTATTTTTTTTAACTTTTATTTCTTTATTTACTTTTTGAGACAGAGTCTCACTTTATCGCCCTTGGTAGAGTGCCATGGCATCATAGTTCACAGCAACCTCAAACTCTTAGACTCAAGTGATCCTCCTGCCTCAGCCTCCCGAGTAGGTGGGACTACAGTTGGCCACCAAAAGCCCAGCTATTTTTAGAGATGGGATCTCCCTCTGGCTCAGCCTGGTCTCAAATCTGTGAGCTCAGGCAACCCACCTGCCTTGGCCTCTCAGAGTGCTAGGATTACAGGTGTGAGCTACCATGCCTGGCCCCAGTTTTTTCTATTTTTTAGTACAGACAGGGTCTCACTCTGGTTTGGGCTGTTCTTAAACTCCTGACCTCAACCAATCCACCAGCAATCCACCAGCCTCAGTCTCCCAGAGTGCTAGGTTTATAGGCATGAGCCACGATGGCTGGCCTTTATTTATTTATTTATTTAATTTTAATTTTTTTTGAGACAGAGTCTCACTTTGTTGCCCCTCTATAGAGAACTATGAAGTCATAGCTCACAGCCACCTCAAACTCTTGGCCTCAAGCCATTCTTTTGCCTCAGCCTCCCAAGTAGCTGGACTACAGGTGCCTGCCACAATGCCCAACTATTTTGTTTGTTTGTTTAGCAGGCCCAGGCTGGATTTGAACCCACCAGCTCTGGTGTATGTGGCAGGTGCCCTAATCACTGAGCTGTGGACACCAAGCCTATTTATTTATTTTAGTGAAGGCAAGCCCATTCCTTCCGCTGTGCATTTGTGCTTGCTGCACCTGCTGCCTGGACGCTGTTCCCCTAGACCATTGGTTCTCAACCTTCCTAATGCTGCGACCCTTTAATACAGTTCCTGTGGGTGGTGACCCACAGGTTGAGAATCACTGCCCAGGACCCATAGGCTGGCTCCTTCCATTTATTCACTGCTCAAAGGTCACCCCCTAGCTAAAATTGCCTGTACCACAGTCCTCCCTGCCCCTTGATCTCCCTGTTTCCAGCTTTATTTTTCCTCCATAGCACTTGTGATCACATGGCACATATTTTCCTAATGCCTTTGTGTATTACTGGTCTTTCCCATGAGAATATCAGCTTGAGGAGAGCCAAACTTTGTTTATTAACCATAGCACAGTGCATGGCTTGTACTGTTACTCAGGGAAGTTTTATTGAATTGATGAATAAGGTGATTATCTACAAAGATAGGATACTGCTCTTTCTATACAATGACCAGAAAAGCAGGGGTACTCTGGAAATGATAGTTTAGGCCCTGCAATTCACCCTGGCATGGGGTTGAGGCCAGCCTGGTGGATTTCCCTGAATGTTTCTGGTGAATGGGGCCCTGTGAAAGCATGGTGCTGCTGCCCCAGGCCTGCGTGGGTCGTTCCTCTGGCATGGGCTCGCCTTCCCAGTGGCAATGGAAAAGAGCCTGTGACGCTACAAGAAGGGGATCCAGAGTTCAGGGGACCATGGAGGGCACCAGGATTAGAACACTGGCAGCCCAGAGCTCAGGTGAAGCTGGGTCTGGACCTTGTCTAGATCTCTCCCCCCACACACTGTACCCCCCAGCATCAGGAGCTGGAGCCAGTGCTGGGCTCCCAGCAGGAGGCTTAAGTTTCTCTCCCTCTCTGTGGATTCCCAAGGGACCCACGCCCCCCTCTGCTCTGCCCTTGTGTAGATAGGTGTCCACCCTATATTCCTTACACTTGCCTACATGGGGCAGCCTGCCCTGGTTGTGTCCGAAACACTTGTTCTAGCACGGGACACAGGGCTCTCCGGACTCAGCCTGCCAGGCCCAATCCCAGCTCTGACACCTCCTGGCTCTGTGAGGTGGTGAGTAACCACACCCTTCTGAGCCTTGGGGTCCCATATCAGTAAAATGGGCCCAGTAACTGTACCTATCTCCCTAGTTGTGTGAAGACTGAAATAAACTGTGCACACTAAGCAATCAGCATAGCAGCCGGTACGCAGTAAATATTGTTAGACTGCATTCTCATCTCTGTCCCTTTGCCAGTGTCCTACATGGGCTGACACTCGGGGGGGGGGGGGCTTTGGCCATGTCTAGCTCTTGATTTTTTGTTTTTGTTTTTTTTTTTGAGACAGAGTCTCACTCTGTCACCCTGGGTAGAGTGCTATGGCATCATAGCTCACAGCAACCTCGGACATCTGGACTCAAGTGATCTCTTGCCTCAGCCTCCTGCCTACCTACAACTACAGGCACTTGTTACTGCTCCCAGCTAGTTTTTCTATTTTTAGTAGAGATGGGGTGTCACTCTTGTGCAGGCTGGTCTAAAATTCCTGACTTCAAGCAATCCACCTGCCTCAGCCTCCCAGAGAGCTAGGAATACAAATGTGAGCCACCGCACCCAACCCCATTTCCTGATTTATGCCAGGAATCCTCAGACTTCTCTACCCCTTCCCTCACCCTAGGAGCCAAGCCTGATGCTATATAACTTCATGCATGGCCTTTCCCCTCTCTTGACCTCAGTCCTCCTATTTGGAAAATGGCCACAGCTTAGGCCCCAATCACATCTGGGGTCCTACGAGTCCTGATGTCTATCACATCCTACCTTTCTCTTGTGCAGACATCTTCAGTGGCTCCCCACAGCCCAGTGGAAGCTCCTTCCTGATGCTTTCACGGCCAGCGGCTGCCCCATTCTGCACTGCTTCTTCCCCCTGGCCATGTGCTCTCTCCTCCAGGCCTTTGCATGGCTATTCTCCCTACCTGCAACTCCCTCTCTCACTTCTACCTGGCTAACTCCTACACACCTTTCTCTGACACCCCCATGACTACGTTAGAGGCATCTCCTCTGTGCTCACATGGTCCCTGAGCTCCACCTTCACAGCATTATCACCGGATAGGGCCTCAGCTGTGAAATCTCCAGGGCTGGGGCTGTATCTGGTTTCCTTTCTGGTCTCAGCCTCCCCAAGGGCTCACTGGCTGCTTCCCCAAGGAACATAGGAATCTTTGAATATAAGGACTTCTCAGTGACCTTGAAATTCCCTGGAGGCAAGAGCCTTCCTAGGCCTCCTTGTTGGGGAGAGTGGCTTGTGGGCACGTACCTTGCAGGTGTATTCAGTGCCAGTGGGGCAGTGCAGGGCCCGGTAGACTCGCCCACCCTCCTCGGGCTCCAGAAGGACATAAGGTCCAAGCCGGGAGCCTGTGGCCACAGCAGGGGCACGATCTGGAGCAGGGGGTGGGCTCAGGGGCAGTGGAAAGGGGGGCGGCTGGGGCTGGGGCCCACTTCGAGCTCGTTTCCGGATGGAGCACTCGGTGTCTAAGTCATCATCCAACTCCAACCGCTTCTTCCTGGAGGGGGTGTCTGAAGGAGCAGGCAAAGGGGTGGCTTGCATCTAGAAAGAACAGGAGAAAGACACTAAGGGGAGGCTGTGTGGTGGCCCCTCTATTCCCCTGTTGGTGAGAGGGTGCGTGGCACAGCCTTTATGGAGGGTGATTTGACAGTGTGGGTTAAAATGACAACAGCACACCCCCTTGACTGGTACCCCACTTCTCGCAATTTATCCTCCAGCTAAATCGCTCACAAAAATAATTAAATACGTGAAAAGCTGATCGTCAGGGACTGTTCCGAACGTTGGGTAATAGAAGACTAGTTAACAGTGGTTCTCGAGCAGTGCCTGTGGCTCAGAAGGGTAGGGCACCAGCTCCATATGCCGGAGGTGGCGAGTTCAAACCCAGCCCCAGCCAAAAAAAAAAAAACAGTGGTTCTCAACCTTCCTAATGCCGCGGCCCTTTAATACAGTTCCTGTGGGTTGTGACCCACAGGTTGAGAACCTCTGAGTTAAAACGTCATAGTACAGCCGTGTAGTGGAAACATGGTACCATAAAGCTCTGAGGAAGGACCAAGAAGCTCTCTATCTGATCTCTCACATGTACTAAGAAGAAAAAGCCAAACACAGAGATATGTGTACACAGTGCTCTATGTAAAAAAGAATATGAATATATTATACTGCGTCCGTATATGTTTGTATATGTATAAACTCTTCTCTCTGGAAGGATACACAAGGTTAGAAGGGGACATGTACTTTTATGCTTTTTGAATTTTGAACCACATAAATATACTGCCTAATCAGAAATTCACATTTAAAGAAATAAATACCTGTTTGAAAACACAGCTTGTTCCTAAAAATCATAGTAAAGAAAATCAACCCATCTCATAATGTGTGGGTCTAGTACATTCACAGATATGAGAGAGATGAGATCTTATCCACTCACTTCACATTTTCTGGGCTGCTGCTGAGTCGGGCCCTGGGAGGGTCCTAGGGAAGAGGAATGAATTAGGCAGCATTCTCGCCCTCGGGATCTCCCAGGCCATTTGGGGGCAGATAAGGAATCACAAAATTAAGTCCAGTGTGATCAGTCCTATTGTAGGGAGAAGCCTGAGACTCTGGGAACCCAAAGGTACTTCAAGAGAGGAGTTTTTGGAAGAGGTGGTCCCTAAATTGAGACCTGAAGGAGAGTCAGAGTTAGCCAGTGGTGTGGAGGGTCATATTCTGGTTCAATGGTTTTCAAACTTGAGCAGGCATTAGAATCACCTGGAAGCCTTGTTGCACTATACATCACAGGGACCTGCTCCCAGAGTAGCTGATTCAGAAGGTCCAGAGGGAAGCAGGTGAATTTGTTTTTGTAACAAATTCCTACACGAGGTTGATGCTGTGTCTAGTAACTATCGTAGGGAGAGGGAAGAGGCAAAAGGGCATGCTGCATGTTCCCCAAGAACATATTGGAGAATGAATGTATCTGCAGAAAAATGTGAAAAGTTAAAAAAGAAAAAAGGCTGGTAAGGTTAGTGGAGGCCCTATTGTGAGGGGCTCTATAAGCACCACATGGCAGAGATGGCTAGTGGTCCCCCAATCTCAGTTCTGGTTTAGAACATGAGGCTTTTAGCTGAACACAAGGACACCCAGAGTAGACGCTCCCTTGCAGCTAGTAATGTATAAACAGACCTATTATGTGCAACTCCTGGAAGAAAGTCCTTAAAAAGGAGGGCCTAACCCCCTCATTTCCTTCTTTACTGAAGGTTGGAGTGTCGACTTGACTGCTGGAGCTCCAGCATCCCTCTTGGACCCAGAAGTCCAAATCCAAGTCCAAGACCACCACATGCAGCAGAGCAACAAGGGAGGAGCCTGAGTCCCCAACACACAGAGAACCAGGCCAGCTTGGCTTGCCTGCCTCCAGGCTTTTTTTTTTTTTGAGACAGAGCCTCAAGCTGTCACCCTTGGTAGATGCCATGGGATCACAGCTCACAGCAACCTCCAACTCCTGGGCTCAAGCGAGTCTTCTGCCTCCGTCTCCCAAGTAGATGGGACTACAGGTGCCCACCACAACACCTGGCTAATTTTTTGGTTGCAGCCATCATTGTTGTTTGGCGGGCCGGGCTGGATTCAAACCCGCCAGCTCAGGTATATGTGGCTGGCACCTTAGCCTCTTGAGCCACAGGCGCCGAGCCTGCCTCCAGGCTTTTTACATAGGAAAGAATAAACTTTAGCTGCTATTAAGTAGCTATTTCTATGTTACTGCCAAGCCTAAACCTAATTCATATACCATGATATCTGGACTTTTTCCAAAGGCAGTCGAGAGCCAGTGAAGGATTTTCAGCGGAGCAACAACATGCTTTTAGAGTACATTTGGGAGTATAAGACAGGGGCAGTGAGACCAACTAAGAGGCCAGCACAGTATTACAGGCAAGAGAAGGTGGCCTGGACTAGGAGGGTACTAGTTGGGATGGAGACACGAGTCAAGGGCTTGTAGGAAGAAGATAGAGGGGACTCAGTGTTGGAGTAGGGGAATTGATACATTGGCTGTCAGGGGTGAGGGAAAGGTGGGATCAAGGTGACGGCCAGCATTTGGCTCCTGCAAAGAGGAGGAATGATGATTTCATTTCCTGAGCTGGAGGAGAAGTTCTCATTTGGGGTCCCTGGAAGAAAATCGTTAACTTTAATTCTAGATGTGATCTGTCCCGGCAAAAGCATGAAAAGTGGGTGTATGCTGAAGAATACCGTACAACGAAGCCACTAACAGTAAAGACGGTAAGAGTAGGAGAATAAACGGTGCAACCGGGGGTGATGCCTGTGGCTCAAAGGAGTAGGGTGCTGGGCCCATATACCAGAGGTGGTGGGTTCAAACCTGGCCCCGGCCAAAAAAAAAAAATATATATATATATGGTGCAACCTTCAGGGAGTGAATTTTGACAATATCAAATTTAAAAACATGCATGAGCTATGGTTCTGCAATTAACCCCATTGCCAGGAATTTATTTGATAGAGGTTTGTGTGTGTGTGTGTAAAATGATGCAAGTACAAGGTTATTCCTGCAGCCTTTGTGTTAGAAACAATCAAATGACTATCTCATTAGAGGACCAGTTAAATAAATTAGACTTCATCTGCACAATGGAACAATGTATAGTCATTTAAAAAGTTGACAAGGCTCGGGCGTGTGGCTCAAGTGGCTACGGTGCCAGCCACATACACCTAAGGTGGTGGGTTCGAATCCCCAGCCCGGACCCACCAAACAACAATGACGGCTGCAACCAAAAAATAGCCTGGCATTGTGGCGGGTGCCTGTGGTCCCAGCTACTTGGCAGGCTGAGGCGGGAGACTCACTTGAGCCCAGGAGTTGGAGGTTGCTGTGAGCTGTGATGCCACGGCACTCTACCCAGGGGGACAGCTTGAGGCTCTGTCTCAAAAA